TTCTCTGACGTGAAAAGACTTCTTGACCTAGGTGAGAAAGCTAATTGTGTAAACGGGTAAATATCAAGTTTTTGGATATCTCACTCACGCAATCGAACAAATGTTGACGGATTTCTACTAAATCCTTCAATGTCAGGCTGCTATAATCAAGAAATAAAGTTCGGTTTTAAAACGTATATCAACCGCGATCAGAGACCACGAGGTGATCTAATTGAGATCCGTAACCTCTAATCGGTCTCAGCTCGTTTTTGGTTGTCCACACTTGGCCCGATTGGGCCCTGGATGACTGACTCTTTTCGGGTCGACCTAAATCGCTAGTATTAACGGCCCAAAGGTATAATATAGTCCTAATTTTTATAGGAAGAACAGATTGGAACTGACAGAACACTCTAGTGCAGATAAACATAGTTTAGTTTAGTTTATATTTAGTTTAGTTGATAGTTTCTTCATTGTTTGTGTTATTGACTTATTTAAGGCTACCCGCGCTACCATGCACATTGTTCCAATTCTGTCTCGGGTAATCAACTTAATTAAATGTTGCATGTTGATTATGTTTTGCCATTTAATTAAACACTTTTGGCCAGTTATTTTGTGTTTGTTTTTGACATGTCTGTCTGGGATTGTTTCCATATTAGGAAAAGGTTACAACTTATGATTATAGTCTCGATTGCCGCAGATTAAAATAACCATATGGAATGTGCCAGAAGCCTGATAGATAGGGCACATTATCAAGAAGATTTCATATAGGCGTACGAGACGGGGCGGGGGCTGGGGACGAAGCCCCAGTCAGTATTTAGTCTGGCAAAATCTACTTTCAAATCATGCAGGCAATTTGCTAGGCCTTCCCGCCAATCTGGATATAGCTAATGTGTTTTTTCATGACTATATATTGAATTAAGAACAGAGATAACTATAACATAGCATCCAATAGTATATAATTGTTTACGACTATATAACTGTTATAAATGTTTTTGAAAGATAATCTCGTAATTTATGTTTGAAAGTACGTATCGATGAAGAAGATTTTATGTTTTCTGGAAGATTGTTCCTTATTGAGAGTAGCACGATAATAAAATGTTCGTTGGCCAGTTGCACTTTTGAAAAGGGGATATTTAAGGATGAAGAGTTTCTGATGTTCGCTCTCCGCACAAATCACTTGGATAAATATTTGGATGCTGTTCCATTTAGGCATTTGAATGATAAAACAATTTTTACGATAAAACAAGTGAGATTTAAAAGGAATACAGTGCAAATTATTGTGTGAATAGATTTCCCAACAGGTATACCTACGATTTTAACGTCCTAATTATCCGAGAAGACGCGAAAGTCTAATCATTTATTGTTGTCAATATAAAGGTAGCACTTTCTCTTCAATTATTTAAAGACCTAGAGTAGAGGTCCAAGCAAGGATTGAATCCGGGTCTCCCATGCAGCTTGCATGAAAGGCAAGCGTGCATGGTGACCACTACATCACAAAAGGCTGGTATTCATTAAAGGAGTAATGTGGTCGATTATTGTTTAATTAATGATTATTCGAATAGCAAAATTCTGTACTGTTTGAAGTCAGTGAATGTTATTTGCAGTGGTGATTGTCCATATACTAAACTTCGAATGACTAGTGAGAGGAGTCTTTACCAAAAAAGAGACAGTCTTGACAATGTGACGCTTCATTGCACGTAAAAGGATCTAACATTGTCAGCTTTCGTCTGATTTTTTGTACAGTTGCAAAATGTTATTACAATTTAATAAAGCAAGATTCCACAACGTATAAACGGAAATTACATCTTGTGATTGACCTAAATATAGTCTGTCTGAGTTTGTCAATAATATACCAGATCATTCTTGTCTAGGAGACCCCTTCTAGATTCTTTATTCCTCGTTCCAAACACAATTTCCTGGTTATTATTTCATAACGGAAATCTGTGGCCACCTGTGGCTGGACTACATGCTATTCACATGTGGTGCGCACAGTGTGTCTTTTATTGCTTGCAATTAGAACCATGGTGCCTCGCTGTGGGAGTGAGGTTTTTAATCGTGTGAGCTTAATGTTACTGACCACTGTCGTACTCTGCTAATCCTACTGTTTGGTGACCATAAACAGTTTACATAAACTGAAACAGTTCAGATAAAGCAAGCACTTTAGAGCGGATGAGAGTTTAGTCCGAATACATCCGGGATTATTTTAAGGCCATTTTATCATTGCACAATTAAAAAACTGTAAAATGGACAAAATTTAAATTTACCGGCATGTTAAGTTGCGATGTTGCCAAACCGTGACAAAAGAGCCTCGTTTCTGTGTTTGTGACATTGGCTAAAGAGTCCTTTCTCTTGTTATTGACTACAAAATTACAAACAAATATTTTATACTCACTGACATAACTGTATGGTTTCGTAAATAAAAGATGAAAGACTTTGAACCCAATAAACCCAATTTCCCTTCCAGCAGTGAATCACCCCCCTCAAAAGTTAAATGGTCGCCCCCTGATAGATAAACTGAGTAACTGACAAATGAGATTCCCCGTATTTATGGCATCATGCACGCAAAGCATTCTGGTCGGTTAACAGCAATGCATTTTGGTCGGTTAACAGCAGTGTGTTCTGGTCGGAGAAACGGAAGTGAAATCTTACTTTCAGAGCCCAATCTTACTTTCAGAGCCCTTGCTCGCTCGCTTCAGGCTCGCTCGCTGCGTCAGCAATAAGCAAATGGCCAAAGTCAGTACAAACAAGAAGACGAGTTTATCGCTATGCTCATTCAAAACACCAAAATATGTTTATCAAATCTGTAATAATAATGCCGTTCTTGCACTGCAACCCTATAGGTCTGGCTATATGGCCTACTTTTAGCTTACGGACCGTACCGTTCCCTTTTTAGTTTATTGAAAATTTCTCCGTATATGAAATGAGTTTGTAATTAACACAACAAAATTAAAAACAATGAATGTATAGCGTGAAGACGGTATTGCAATTATTCTACTATTTGCCGTTTATTTGTTATTTTTCATACTGTAATCAATCGCCCTCAAAAATTATCCCGAGCGCCGTTCCAGGCGTAAGTCCGGGGCGTGGTTACTAATTCCATCCGGCTATTTACACCCACAGAAAGGAACGCATTAGGGACCGTTCATTTTTTATCAGGAGGGGGGGCTGGTGGTTTTTGCAGGGGGGCCACCAGAAAAAATAGTGATGTGAAAGGGGGGTCACCTCAGGAAAATTAAATTTTGAGGGGGGGCCACCAAAACATTAATGAATACATAATATATAAAAATCCTGTCAAATTCAGAGAATTCTGTCAAAACCTCTGCCAAAGTCCACGAAATGGCATTTCAGAGAACCTAAATTTAAAAATTTCCTCGGGCCTCCGGCCCTCGCCACCCCCTTATAAAAAAAGAACTTCCTACAGAACTGCACGCTTCTGTAATATGTCTGTGCGTAAAATATGAGTATTTTTGTTTGTAAATTGCGTTTTCATTTTCCAGATAGCAAACACCTTCGTGGCTTCGTATGGCATGAAATATTCGGAAATTTCTTTCGTCATTCGGAAATTTTTGGCCTACACCCCCCCTCCCCCCCCACTATGCATGCTTAGCTACGGCCCTGGCGATAACATTCAGTCATTTGGCAGTTGAAAAGTGAAGCCTTGCATGTGAATGACTGAGTGTTATCATTCTAGATAAAGTAAAATAAATTAAGTTCACTGGAAAATTGCTCCGAGCAAATTGTAATCAAAACACACAAGTTGCAACAGTCATTTTCTCAAGTTCCTATCACACCCGTGTTGAGTCAAGACACTGAATCAAATGACTAATATCTATGTAAAGTTCCTATTAAATGCCATGGTCTCTAATATTATTTTTGTAACATTTCGGGCAGTTACAATTACTAAAATAATTGCTAAAATAATTGTAGGCATTATTGTATTTATTTAGCCTAAAACGTTGCAAAAGTAACATTAGAAACCTTTCAGAGGTTATGCATGGGGGGGGGGGGGTCAGGGGAAGAAAACGTGGAGTAGAAAGGGGGCCACTGAAAAGTTTCCTGCATCTGCTGGGGGGTCATGACGAAATTATCAATGAAAGCATGCAAAACCACCAGCCCCCCCCCCCTCCTGATAAAAAATGAACGGTCCCTTAGCCATAAATGGCCTGGGAGACAAAGGCATATTTTATATCAATGGCCAGCCGTCCATATTCTGGCAGCTCATCACAGAGCTGCACAACACACAGAAAGACGATGTTTTACACCTATGAAATAAATTGAAGAGTAAGCACATTCATTGGCACAATGTACAGATGAAAGTTGCTGTGGCAGCACAGACACTAAGCAACTCGGTTGCATCTGGTATCAGATATTTGAAGGCAATTGGCATACCAAAATTTCAAGCCAGTGACGAAACTTCACCGTTTGTTGAGAATATTAATTTTTAACAATATTTATGACATTTTGAATTCAAGAAACAAGTTCGGAAGGCACTACAAGAGTTCAATAACATTGGAAAATAATGATGACTTGGAGGAGAACCTTAATGAGATTAATAGCTACCTTCAACATCCAGAAGATCAAGAGGGTGAGAAATTGGTGAATGGTCCCGGAAAAACATTTATTTTGGGATTTGCAGTGTCATCAAGATCGATCATTGCTCTAGCTAATAGACTATTCGAAAGGAACTACAATAAATTTGACTATGTTCTTACTTACCGCTTCTCACAGGATCAAATAGAGATATACTTCAGCAAAATCAGAAGTCGATTATGATGGAATAACAAACCAACCACTTTACAATTTAAATGGGCATTACGCACACTGCTGCAAAATAATCTCATAACAGCACCGACAACAGACCACTGCACCAATGTCGCGGAAAAACCAGAGAAAGAGCTGGAGCCCGACAAGAGAATCCTGCAATTGCTCGACAGTTCCCCAGTATAGCGTGATGATGTCCATGGTTACATCGTACATATTGAAACAGCTTATTCCATCCACGAAATGTGTTGAATGTATTGATGGTCGCCGAAAACAGCAACCAAGTTCCAGATCACTGTTCCTACACCCGCACATCGCCCAACAGACCAAACAAGTTTATTTCCATGAAGAGTTATGCTACATTAATAGACCCTTCACAATCGGTTGTGAAAGTTGTCCAGGTCACCGATAAAATCCTTCGAGAAACGCCCCGCCAGTGGAATCTAATGCAGAAGAAACCCTTCAAGAGCTCAAGCAACAAGTCTTGCAGGAGACCAAGCCGTCCACCTTCGTTGAGCTACAGCAGCACTCACGAGAATGCCACATCCTTGATGAAAATCTGCGCGATGACCATATCACCACGCTCGTCCCCGGCATTTCAGACCTGTACGTGAAGATATTAATTCATCCACCGCTTTGAAAAGATATACCACAGGGAGCCCATCCCGGGTCGTATTGAATTTATTCATTAGAATTACATATGAAATATATAGCTCAGTGTTGAAGCCTGCGATTTGCGGGCTGTGTGTGGGCTAACGCGCGCGTTTATTACACAATAAAGAAAATAATAAAGCGATGAAAAATCGACGAGTGCCTGGAAGCCCAGAATTCAAAACACAATATCAGTGTGTTTAAATTAAAATGTCATAGTTTTATTATGTTACAAGTCCACTAGGGCCTGTTCTTTCACATCGTCTAACCAAAACCTTCCAAATAGTTGCTAACGAGGAGAAATTTTTCGATTGATCGCACAGCAGTGTACGATTGGATGTGTGGGGATGTGTTCCACAGGTTGCTATGACATGCTGAAATGCTTACTTATTTCCTACTACACACTCCACAGATCTATAAAATCATATGAAAAATATTAAATAGTATTGTAGCTGTTGGCATATTCGAATATTAAACACATATAAAATGTTAAACGCATATAAAACAAAATTCCAAAATCAGCGATCGGCCAGTCGCCCGGCCGACCGTGAAAATTTCAACCAGGAAACCGCAATATTTTCTGGATTTTGCAAATTAGTTGCAGATGACAAGTTTGTAATCAGAATGGTAATTTCTGAAAGAAGTTCTTTTGTAGAAATTTATAGAAACTTGAGTCGATAATTCAGCTGTTAATGTCATAGCATTGCCTATACCTATACCTATACCCATTGCATATACCTATCTTGGATATACACTGGATAACAGTCTCACGCTGAAAGGTTGCTTTGATAAAGCTTATAAAACGTGCTGCAATCGCCTCAAGCTCTTATCCAAATTAAGACATCATGTAAGCTCGGACGCTGCAAATAGGATATATCAGTCTATGATTCTCCCAGTTGTTACGTACTCTGGGCTTTTGAAACTTCAGTTCACGAAGACTTTGCAGTCGGACAGGTTTCACTCAATTGAACGTCGCGCGGAAAACATCATTGCTCCTCACGAACATGGTCAAATGCCTTCTATTATCAAGATATTACATAAACAGTCGTGTAGTATTGTAAGGAAATGCCTAGACAATCGAATGTGTACCAACTTTAATAACTATTTCAAAATTAAAATTGGTGGTATCAATACAAGGAACAATCATTTTTTTTCTAAACTAAAACTACCCAAAGTTAGAGTTTGCGAAACAATCATTTTATTATTTGGGTGCAAAAATCTCTAATGATTTGCCAATCGAAATAAGACGAGAAGGAGATTATGACCAATTTCTTAACATATTGAAAGACTATTATAAATAGGTACATGTGAACTGTAGTCTTAATTGACTTAGCCTAATTTTTAAATTTTTGAAAGACTTTTGTAATAGGTAGACTGAATAATAGTTTTCGAACTAACTTATTTTATATCTATTTTATTGCTTGTATTTTAAATTTAGAAGTAGAGAGGGCACATAACATATTGATAACAGTGTCTTGCGCACTGAAATGTTTTACCCTCTGTAAAGATTTTTGTAATAATAATAAAGAACAGTATGGAACACATGCCTCCAGGCACTCGTCAATGTATACACAATAAATGTTATTTTCTTTATTGTGTAAGGTGTGATCAACGCGCGCGTCAGCCCGCACACAGCACGGTTATCGCAGGCTTCAACACTGAGCTATATATATATATCATACGTAATTCTAATACATAACTTCAATAAGACCCGGGATGAGCTCCCTGTGGATATATTCGGAAAAGATAGTTTGCGGCGGAAAGCCTCCAAAAGACAAAAACCGAACAAATATATCCTTTTTGTGAACGATTAAATTCTAATTCGGCAGCAATTATTATCATTCATATAAGTAATATATTAAAATTGTACACATAACTTCTCTCTTTTACTGTTAAATCGATTCAAAAGCGGAAAACGCACACTTAGTCTAGTGATATAAAATATTATAATGTTCGTCTTATAACTTTTTTGCTCGACAACCATTTGCTTCGAATTTGGCAGCCAAAATGGGTCGTAAACACACTTCGTTCCCGAGCAACGACACGAAGAAAGATAATTTTCTGAAATAAAATCAAACCGCGTCCAAGTTAGCCGTAGATTTTCCACAAAAAGGGCTAGGATGCCTATATTTGTACTGCTCAGCCCTGGTTACTTGCGTTTTTTGCCCGCTTGTTCCGCCATCTTGGATTTTTTATTTTGGTCACGCCTCGTTTCTAGTCTTCAGAATAGGAGTCGTCGATCTATACTTCCTATATCTATGGTTGAACCCTACCGCCGCATTTTCTTCAAGTATTGGTATGAAATTTGCAGAGGCGATACCAAGTGCAAAAACGTCTCCGTATGATTATCTCAAATGTCAAGATGCAGGAAGTTTCTTTTTATCACCAGTTACTTCCACTGAAATAGAACATGAATTGCTGCACTAAATTCAAATAAATCAATTGGTCCTTTTAGTATTTCTGTAAAAATGTTGAAACTTTTTAAGACATCACTGTCAAAACCTTTGGAAATAATATTTAATTTTTCATTTTCAGCTGGTATCGTACCATGTAAATTTAAAATTGCCAGCGTTATACCTATACATACTAGAAATACATGAATACAATAACCCCTCGCCTGTTTTCAAAAGATATATACTCAGTGCCGTTGCGAGCACTTCGTCGCAGGGGGGGGGGGGGTTAGATAGAGGGGGGGGTTACCAAAAAGTTTCCAGATGTACAAAAAATTTTCAGGACATATAATAATTTTTCCGAAATTTAATAGTTGTTTTCCAAATTCACTTTCTCAGTCATGTCCTGAGAATTACCTGAATTCCCCTGAAAATCTTCTGCAAATCTACTTAAATGTAGGTACTAAAAGTGCACTGGAAATCTACCTGAAATTCATCATGAGCAATAATCAGGGGTGTTGCACCCCCCCCCCCCCCCCCCAGTGAGTTCCAAGCAAACACTCTCTGATTTATTGTTCGTGTATTTCGATCATCTCCCAAAATATTGTGCATCATACTATAGAGCATTTTGCTGTTGTCATGCTCTAGCATGGTTCAAATTTATGAATTTTTATTATATAAAGTATAGTGTTTTGCAGAGTTTTCGAGCACTGCACTGACAAAAATGATAATCTCAGATGTGAAATTATTCATGATAATCTCACATGTAAAAATTTATCGCCTTTTCAATTATCGCTTTTCTGTAAACATTATCGCTTTTCATTTAAGACTGTCCTTTATATAATAAACAGAAAAATACATGGGTGGTTGGAAATACCAGATTTATTTTTTGTGTTGAACATGACATCTCACTCGTTCGCTGCGCTCACTTATTCGCTGCACACTCATGTTCAACACTCGAAATAAATCTGGTATTTCGTGCACCCATGTATTATTCTCTATTTAAACTACAGCTAGACTGGTTTAAATTATTATCAATTTATCAGTGATTGTAAAAGTTGGAGATAGAAGTGTTTTGTTTTATAAAATTATCAAGTTGTCGGTGATCGCAAAACCTCCAAATCCTTAATTTCAAATGTTAGAATGTTAGGGTTAGAATGTTAGGGTTTGTAATATATACATTTTGAGTGAGAATATATACATTTTAAGACCTAACCAGGAACGACTGCGAAAAATGCAGCACAAGGTCCTCTGGTAGAAATTGAACCTACGGCCCTGCGATTCCGGTGCAGCGCTCTAACCAACTGAGCTACAGAAGCCAGCTGTTGAGCTTTAACCGTAAGTTCATGTATATTTAAGTAATCGGGTGTGCGGGTTATGATAAGGTGGACATGAATGTCTTAGATTATTGCACTTCACTTGGTGAAATTAATATTAGGATGTTAGGGTTTGTAATCCAAGTGAGAATATATACATTTTAAGACCTAACCAGTAACGACTGCGAAAAATGCAGCACAAGGTCCTCTGGTAGGAATTGAACCTACGGGCCTGCGATTCCCCTGCAGCGCTCTAAAAAACTTAGCTACAGAGGCCAGCTGTTGAGCTGTAACCGTAAGTTCATGTATATATATAGGTTAATCGGGTGTGCTGGTTGTGATAAGGTGGACTTGAATGGCTTAATCGGGTGTGCGGTTTATGATAAGGTGGACTTCAATAATTTGAATTCTTGCACTTCACTTGGTGGACTTAATATTAGAATGTTAGGGTTTGTAATCCAAGTGAGAATATATACATTTTAAGACCTAACCAGGATCGACTGCGAAAAATGCAGCACAAGGTCCTCTGGTAGGAATTGAACCTACGGTCCTGCGATTCCGGTGCAGCGCTCTAACCAACTGAGCTACAGCTCGGCCAGCTGTTGAGCTTTAACCATAAGTTCATGTATATTTAGGTAATCGGTACCAGGGGCGGATCCAGGATTTTTCGTACGTTAGTCAAAGTTTTCGGATGTACAATCTAGTTTTGCGGGCGGCGAATGCCCGAGACACCTAGGGAGGTCTGTTCCCCAGGGATTTTTATATTTTTAAACCTCCGAAACGCAATTTGCATCACTCTGAAAGCAGCTTCAACAAAAAATTAACTTCATGAAATGGGAGATAATTATAGCAACTATCAGTCTGACTGACTCTCACAACTCGCTCCTTAGGGAAAAGTAAAGGAGAAGTACTTGCAGAAATGTGACAATTGTGGAAGATGTTTCATTTTATCAAATTACGGATTGCTAGTATTATGTTTAACTATCTCATGATAGTACTACACTCATTTTTGTTGCCTAATAGCCTTGTTGAGTCATTGATCACTTGACTAGTAATCACTACAGTGTCATATTACTCAAATAAACATATCAATATTAAAGTCTTAACATTCAGCTATAAAACCTGACTTTTATATCCTATGTACACTGCATTAATGCATTTATATAGGTTATTCTCCATATTAATAGCCTTCTGAGTTCTGACGGACCATCAACCGCAGAATTACAGATATGCAAATTTGTTGTGTAAA